GGCCCGTCCCAGTGCTGCTGCTCGGACCCCTTGATCCAGGGAGGATGAGAGCAGCCAGGACAGTCGTGGCCCCCGCCCCACGCCGCCCGTGGCCCCAGCTTCAGTCTGTGGACTTGCCCGCGCGTGTTTTCTGCTCTGCTCACTGGCGCTGACGCTCCTCGGTGGCAGCGGCTTTGTTGACTCCTGCACTTCCCACGCCCAGGTCACGGGAAGGATGTCTACGCTGTCATTTCCCCAACGGCTGCGGCAGAATGTTTCAATCGGTTTCTTTTAGAAACACGTTGACTTGAGTGTGAGAGTGCGCGTGTCCGTGGGAACGTTACGGGAGGGTGAGCTGAGACTACCTCTCCCTCCCACGGTCAGGACCTAAGTTACCACCGTGTCTTTCCAGGCACTTTGCTGGCTAGAAATGGGCCAGCTCTCTCTCTTCTCTCTCTCTGTCTCCCCCAAATTGGGGTCCTTCCATACAAATTGTTCTGCACCTTGTTTCTCCCCCCATTTCCCATTTTATCCTGGATTCTTTCCACTGCAGTACATTCGAAAAGTTTTGGAGCTCGTGTTTAGTAAGGAATCATCAGGCAGGTTGGTTACCTTATTTATCATTTGGATGATCATTACCCCACAGGCTCCCTAAAGGAGGCTCCCAGGGGTTCCGATGCCAGNCTGGATTCTTTCCACTGCAGTACATTCGAAAAGTTTTGGAGCTCGTGTTTAGTAAGGAATCATCAGGCAGGTTGGTTACCTTATTTATCATTTGGATGATCATTACCCCACAGGCTCCCTAAAGGAGGCTCCCAGGGGTTCCGATGCCAGGCCCTGGTGAGAGCTGAAGGTGTTTGCTAACCTGCTGTATGAGTAAATTAACCTTAAGTCTCGTTCAGCCTCGCAAAAGGCACTATATGCTCACAAGGGAAAGAGAGTTCTTTGAACCCTAGTCCTGTGACGAAGGTACAGGCCTCTGCATTTCACAAGTGAGACCATTAAGGCCGTGAGTGACTGGCCAGCTTCCCAGGCAGGCGATCACGGCCTCCAGCCTGTCTCCCGACTCCTGCGTGTCAGCGGAGATTGCTGTGCGATATTTTAGTGGTATCACTTAGCCTTTTGCTTTTTTAAAAAAATTTATATGCTTTTTATTGATTTTAGAGAGAGGAAGGGAGAGGGAGAGAGAGAAACACTGATGTGAGAATCATCGATGTGAGAGAGGAACATTGACCCATTGCCTCCTGCATGCGCCCTGACCCAGGATCTAGTCCATAACCTGGGTACGTGCCCCGACTGGGAATCGAACACGCGACCTTTCAGTGTATGGGACGATGCTCTAACCCACTGAGCCACCCGGCCAAGGCTGACTTAGCCTTTTTCTTTTGTGGCTTTTTGTTTTAATGACCTTTGCAGTGCGTTCTGCCAGTGCCAGAAGTTGGACGAGTGTGGGTTTTTTTTTTGGTTAAAACTCTTCTAAAAAAAATTTATCTTTATTGTTGGAAGTGTTTCAGATATCTCTTTTTTATCCCGCCATTGACCCCCTCACCCCCCGTCTCCTCCCCAGGCCTTCCCCCCAATAGTTTGACAAGTTCTTTAAAAAGCATCACTTTTTGGTTCAGTTTCTCTCTCTAAAAACCTTTGTCATCATTTAACTTATTACAAATAGGGGCGTATGGTCCCAGGCTGCATATCAAAGGTAATTTGTGGGGATTTACAAACTGCTTACGTCCTGTGCTTACTCTATAAACGTAGCATAACTTTGGGATTAAGCTGCAGCTTGGTGTTCAGTCTGGGGCCACTTAGGCTTTTGCTTATGTCAAGTCGTATGTGTTTCCACTAAAGAGTAGCAGCGCTGCCCAGGGAAATGCAGGAAAGCGAAGACTTTAAAAAAAGTCAGCTTCCTCCTCGCACCCCCTTAACCCCACCCTCGTTCCCCTCACGTCCAAGTGCGAGGAGTGAGCCATCCTGGTAAATGCATGTAAACTACACAAGTCATGGGGTCTGGTGAAGCTCCAAGAGCCTGAAGGCTGCCAGAAGCTTTTCGGGGTGCTTCAGCAGTTTTGCTTAGAGGGGGCTCATGTGCATAATTCCCAGGATCCTCTGGTCTGTCTGTCTGTCTTTCTTTCCTTTCTCAGAGAGAAAGCGTTGAACAGCATAACCTAAGGCTGCCTTTTCCTCTTGACATTGCCTCGACGTTGTCCTTAAATGAAAGACCATCGTAGCGCAGACCGGCTGCGAGAGGTGAGGCCTCTGCGAGCTGCTCTTCCCACAGCCTGGCGTTTCCTCTGTATCTGATCTAGTGACAGTCAAGTCGTCTGACCTCATGTGATGATTTAATGCTGTTTAAGTGGCGTCAGCATATTTCCGTGTCTCCCTTTGTTCCTGTCAGATGAGGTTCAATTACTTTGCTTGTTAAATGAAAAGGATTCAGCCCATCTCTCATCCTGCGCTTATCTGAGGGTTGTTCTGACCACAGGTACAGCAGGGAAGAGCCCAGGGCCCTGAGGGATAGACAGAGGCCCCCACCGGTTACATGGTCCGCAGCCTGACACCCGGCCCACAGCCCGTCTCCTACGAGAGCAGCAGCTTTGTTTATTCCGCAGCCTTTTTTGCTAAGTTCTCTGGGATTGTCTTCTCCATGTGAGAAACAACTGGACAGTTTAGGAAACTAGGAACCCAACAGTTTAAGGAAAAGACAAACCCAGAAAAGACAAGCGCCCTGCACGGTGGCAGATCTCCAGTCCCCAACGGCTAGTTCACAGGTACCTGGGACTTTAATAACACAGGACAGCAGATTAGAAGTGACAGGGGTTTGGAGTCATTGTGTCATGAGGAAACCGAGGTTCCGAGTGATTTACGCAAGCTGACAAGGCTGGCCGATGGCCAACAGGACCATAGCTCATGACTCTGAGTGGGGACCTACGGTGGCCCCGAATCCCAGGTTTCTCGAGGAGGCTCTGACGCCAGCCGCTGGCCTGGGCGCCGCCGGAGCACTGGGCTGACAGGTGCCCCGCCCCAGCGTGGGCTCAGCAGGAGTCGCCGTCACACAGTCGCACAGACCATCTTCATGAGCGTCCCAGCTGGCCATCTGTCTCGGTCCAAAGGCGGACTCTCCCTTTTCCGCTTTGTGACCTCACTTGAGATAGTTAATAACCCCAAGCCATGTAGAAATTGCTATCGCTCTTAAAAGAAGTGTAAAATTTGTATTAATATTTAATTCCTGCGCTTGGGAAGAACTTGAAACTGCAATTAGATGGCAGGGCCCATCTGCTTGCAGCCGGCGCGCCCGCTCTCCGGGGGCCGCCGGGGGCCGCCTGTCCCCTTCCGTGGGCTCCTTAACCGCGAGCACAGTCCCTCCGGAGGGAGCTCCAGATGGTGAAGGAGACCCTGCAGGCCATGATCCTGCAGCTCCAGCCAGCCAAGGAGGCGGGGGACAGAGAGGTGGCGGCTTCCTGCGTGACAGCTGGCGTCCGGGAAGCGCAGGCCTGAGGCTGCGGGACCAGGCAGGAGGTGAGTGACCATGGACGGGGAAGAAAGGTGAGTGACCATGTCATCTCTAGGGACCCTCGGGGCGGCCGCTCCCCCCTCCCTGAGTCACCCGTGTGCCTGAATCAGTGATGGAGACACAGAGCCTCGAGTCTCCCAGCACAGAGTGGTCCACGTCTGCTCTCCTGAGGCTGAGACGGGTCCACGGGCGGAGGGGGCACCATCCGCTGAGTTTCCTTCCAAATGTCACTCAGAGGCACCTTTACCGGGTCGTTAGTGGGAGCATCCTGCACAGGATTTGAAAATCTTTTCATCTCAGCCCCCATTAGACAGAAGTTGGGTGAGTTCTCCTGGAAAAGCGTCTCTTTTCTTGTACCTTTTTGCTTTCTGCGGTAATTACAGTGTCTCCTGACTTAAGAGCCTATAAAAGGAAAGCCAGCATAAACCTGTCTCCCGTTATACCTGTTACACTGTCCCGCAGGCACATCATATAAGGGCGTAATTACCCCAGAGCCCGGAATGAACAGCTCTTCCCCTTACTTCTGTGATTCACTGTAATCTCAGAACGCACATGAGAAACAAGATAGTTTTCAGGTAACAGCCTATCAGTGATGCGCAGCATTTCAGTTTCCATGTGGCATCGCCTGTCTCCTGACGTTTCGTCAGGGCCCCGGAACTCTTCAACAGCGAGCAGGAAGGGAGGGCGGTGTGAATGGATCAGGTGATGTGTATAATAAACCATGGGCCTCTCCTTTCTCCCTCCTGAAACTGTTCCACATGCATGTGGAACCCTTCAGGGCAGCACAGCACTCAGTAGGGCAGCATGGTGCTCAGAAAGGCAGTGCGGTTCTCACGCAGACGGTGCGGTTCTCAGTGCGGTTCTCACGCAGACGGTGTGGTTCTCACGCTGACGGTGCGGTTCTCACGCAGACAGTGCGGTTCTCAGTGCGGTTCTCACGCAGACGGTGCGGTTCTCACACAGACAGTGCAGTTCTCACGCAGACGGTGCGGTTCTCAGTGCGGTTCTCACGCAGACAGTGCGGTTCTCAGTGCGGTTCTCACGCAGACGGTGCGGTTCACAGTGCGGTTCTCACGCAGACGGTGCGGTTCTCAGTGCGGTTCTCACGCAGACAGTGCGGTTCTCAGTGTGGTTCTCAGTGTGGTTCTCACAGCGCGGTTCTCACGCAGACGGTGCGGTTCTCAGTGCGGTTCTCACGCAGACGGTGCGGTTCTCGGTAATGTGAGGCACTGCAGCCCCCTGCTCAGGCAGCCGTGCACAGGCTGAGCTCCGATCAGCAGCGCCCCCAGCGTGGGCAGAGGAAGGCGCCGGGCACCCAGGCGCGGTGTTGGCTGAGCGCATTTGGGATGCCCTGCGCCATAGTTCCCACTTGGAGAGCCAGAGTTAGCACCTTAGTCTGTGGGAGAGCTTAGGAAAGAGACCCCCTTGATCGAGTCTAACCCCACACTTTCCTGGTTTAATGGATCGTGAGGTTTTTTTCATTTAAATCCCACTCCCAGCCCACCAAGCGGTGCTGTGCAGCACTGAAGTCCCCGGGAAGCCCTGGCCCCGCCCGGTCTCCACAGACCCCTGCGGCCGAGCGCTGACTCAGCGACCCCTCGCCCCCGCGTGGCAGGGTCAGCGAGGCATCCTCCTCGACCTCTTCTGGTCGCGTCTGTCCTCGTGGGATTGTGAGGCTCCCTGGGCAGGGACAGTTGCTGTCGTTTCCTGAAGGCAGCTGGCGTGGCTGCACCCGCCGTGCTGTGCGCGCTGTCCTCGGTCAAGGAGATGCCCGCGGAGGCGGGGGTTGGCCCGGCTCCAGGGCACGCAGCAGAGCAGCCTGCGAATTCGCAGATCGTGTCTCCCACGGCTTTTTCTTGAGCATTTTGGAAAATACTCTACACATTTTAATAATAAGCACAATTAATTTGTTCCAGGAATTCTTGGATTCCAGTGATGGACCAAATTCCTGAATTATTCATAATTACATGTAAAAATCATTATGTACTGGTCACATGGCAATTGGAATCCTTGAACTCTTGGGTTCATTTCACTGAAACAAAACCTGGGAAAAGTCGGGATTGACCATATTGCCAATAACGAATCCTTACTTTGACGTGTCACTTTTAAAGGCCCCCCGGACACAGGACATCTTAACCATCACTAACTCAATATTTTGCATTACTCAAAAACCATCCGGAATATTCTGTGAGGTCACAAGGGGTTGAAAGTTCTGGAGGCTAATGACTGCTCTGAGGTCCTCTGGTCCCTCCAGCAGGCAGCGTGCTCCTTTCCTTGTTAAGAGGCCTGACTGAGTTCAAGTCCTGGGGCAGGTGGTGCTGCTTTAACCACTTGCTGCACCCTCAGCCCTGGTCTGTGCTGGTCTCACCGTCAGCCAGGACGCCAGCTAAGGGCTCCGTGTTTCCTCTGGCCACACAGCCGTCTCAAGACAAGCCCCCTCTCTTTGGCCACCGAGACCCTGGAAGACCCATGTGCATCCCGACCCATAATATAGGGGACTTTTTGTCAGGACAACATAAACAGAAACTAGTGCTTGAATTGAAAAGCAGCAAGACCCGAAAACAAAACTTAAGCTTTTGTGGAGACGGTCAAAACGAACAGTGAAAGCGCAGGTTGAAAATGACTTCGTCTGCTTTCCCCGTGACGTGGTGTGAGAATAAACAGCGTGCTCCCCTGCCCACCAGCCCGGATGCTGGCATTTGCACGGCCGCCCGTTTGGGGCATGTTCTCAATCAGCAACAGTCCCAGTTCCTCCTGGAATTTCAAGGTTAAAGGGACCCCTCCCCAAACCGAGTAGGCCTGTGAGACTGGAGACTCGCCTTCCTCTGCGGTCAGGCTGGTCCCCACCCAGGAACGTGTAGGGGCTCACAGGTGGGCACTGGGATTGTCCTGTGACCTTGGTAATCACTATGTCCTTTAATTCTCATGTCAACCTTAGGAGGAAGGTGCTCGCACACTATGAAACTGAGCCAGAGGAGACCAAGGGACTTTTCTTGAGACACAGAGCAAGAGTGACAGAGACCGTGGACATTCTTACCTGGTGGTCTTCATCAAGTGCCTTCTGTGTATTTTGGGGGACTGTGCACCACAGGGCTTGTTCATTTATTTAAACCATGGTCACCTTGGGTCCTGCCTCGAGAGTCAGAGAAACTGAGCCTGGGGAAACGTTGGCTTCCCACCTCCCACACAGGCCCTGCTGTTCTGCGGCCATGAAGTCTGGGCTCAGACAGGCTTCAACACACCCACCCAGCCACCCCGTCCTAACCAGCCATTCGTTCCCCATCTATCAGAAATGCCACGCCAGCAACAGCTACTACTGCCTGACACGGGACAGGTTTTCTTGAAAGTTCCCATCCAGTTGGTGTTGTCCAGAAAGCAACACTATACTCCTTGATCAATCAATGCCTTCTTGTATAAGCAATTTAATACTTTGATTTTGAATATCTTTCCCTTACCTCACCTTTGGATTTTGTCATATAATTTATTGTTTTATAAAGCTGACATTTTTGTTACACGAAATTAAAACTGATAACCAAGTCGTATTGCACCATTAACACTTTTTTGTCTTCTGGAGTATAATAGAAAAATGTGTAAGGTTTATTTATCACAGCTTTTTGTTACAGGATGATTAGTTGTACAGTAACTTATATCACACAAAACATCTCTAATAAAGCAATGCTTTAAAATGGTGTATGTGTTTACTTTCAGGTATCAACCAATCAGAAAATAATGTAATTATCTATTCCAGACCCCTTGGTTGAGGAAATTGAAAATAACATTACCAGTTATGTGGGGGGGAAAGGCCAAAGGTGCCCACTAGCCACTGGAAAGATCTTACTGGAGATACTGGCTAAATCAACTAGGCAAGAAAAAGAAATGAAGGTTACATTAATATTTATGGGTGACATAACTATAGGGTAGAAAACCTAAGAGAATGAACAGAAAAGTTTTTACACAATTCACACAATTTCTTTAAGAAAAACCCACAATCGCCGAGCCTGAGAGTGGGCACTGGGGCAGCGTGGGGCAGAGGCCCAGGTCTCCTTGATGCTGAGGCAGGTTGACTCCCTATTTAGCACCTGCTGTGTGCCTGGCATGGAGCTAGGTTCAGAGGGTCCTAGAAAACTAGGATATTATTATCAAATGATTAGAAGGAAAGTATTACCCTTGTCATTGTAATTATTATCATTTTAAAGACTTTCTTGAACAGCTATGCCCGATGGTTTAGTACCAAAAATTCAGCCCTCTCTGGAATTCCAGTTCCTGTCCTGGGGAGGACTTTTGAGGTTTCCTTCCTTTCAACACTGGAACAAAGGGACCCGTGGGTTGGTTATGAGGCAGAGTGGGGACTGGGGAAAGGGAGTCNAGGGACCCGTGGGTTGGTTGTGGGACAGAGTGGGGACTGGGGAAAGGGAGTCACATCTGTCCCTTCATAGTACTTATGCAACCTGCGTTTTAGTCAATTACATCTGCTTTTAAATGCTCACATCACACGCATTTTCACATGGGGACAGAAGGATGGCAGACGGCAGTGCAAAGGGCGATGGGAAAGCAGCTCTACCTCCCCCGTTGTTACTACAACACAGAAGAACGCGACGTTCCCGCCCCTTTTTCGAGTTTGAAAGGTGTGTGAGACAAAGCTCCTGTCCACCGGCAGCTGTGATCCCTTCCCATTGTCTTTATTCACTCAAGAAGCGTTTACAGAGGTCCTGCTATAAAAATTGCTTTTCCTATAGACGGATGAATTCATGGGCACACAGGTTAAAAGCTCAGTGAAAATATTCTGGCAAGTAATGAAAATGTTCAGCGTTGGCTCTCAGGACTCTTGGTCCTAAATCTACATGATAAATTATTAGNTCTTTATTCACTCAAGAAGCGTTTACAGAGGTCCTGCTATAAAAATTGCTCTTCCTACAGGATGAATTCATGGGCACACAGGTTAAAAGCTCAGCGAAAATATTCTGGCAAGTAATGAAAATGTTCAGTGTTGGCTCTCAGGACTCTTGGTCCTAAATCTACATGATAAATTGTTATNATGGGCACACAGGTTAAAAGCTCAGTGAAAATATTCTGGCAAGTAATGAAAATGTTCAGCGTTGGCTCTCAGGACTCTTGGTCCTAAATCTACATGATAAATTATTAGACTATATACACACATACACGTGCACATATACACACACAGCCACTCACACACACACGCGCCCACAGACTCACAACAGCATTTCAGCTAATGTTGACCAAAAATTATTTACTGTATTATTTTGTGTTTCCTGTATGATTTTTATTTGGAAGAACAACATTTAAAAGACACTTTATAAGTAGATTCCTGTATAACCACTATCTTAAATTTTTTGGTCTTTGATTATACAAAAACTTAAACTGAAATATATTAGACGTACAGTCTTGTGTAAATCCAAGGTGCGCGTGTTAATTTGATAGATGTTAATTTGATTGCTGTTGCAGCGATGATTACTTCTGTCACCTGACACACTGACCCTTTCTTTCAGCGGGTGGGATCACTAGCTCTGATCTCTCAGCGAGTCTGACGATTACAATGCAAGTCCCCTCGCCCTCAGTGGAGATAAAGGCCACGCAGGGGGGTAGCCGTTCCGCCTTGTTCAGCTCCTGCCTCCAGCCTCTGCCAAAGTCCTTCTGAGGCACCGGACACTCCCCAACACGATGCCTTTCTAACCACAGAGCCATCTACAGCGGCCAATCTTGGGCCACACGTAGATCGGGCGCAATTTTGCAATGGCCTGGAGCTGGATTAACTCTTGGCAGGGTACAGTTCCCCACTGGCCTCTGGGGATCTGTAGATGGACAATAACCAGCCTAAGATATGTAACCCCTTCCTCCTGGTGGTGGTGGCACAGGGGGTGGGGGTGCAGGTGGGTGACGAGGGTAGACTGGAGGATTAGGAGGGAAGGTGACTTCTTGTTGATGCCACAATCCTGACGANAGGGTAGACTGGAGGATTAGGAGGGAAGGCGACTTCTTGTTGATGCCACAATTCTGACGGGCTGCGTCCCACTCTGGGGTGACACCAACACTGGTTTTGCTCAACCTGCCCCTCGGGTTGGTCATGAACATTTTATTTACGGCCAGATCAGTGGAGAAAGGAAATCCTCTCCCAGCTCCTGTCCAGGATCCTCGGGAGTGGCTTCCCTCCACCACATGTCCCCCTGAAACTGCTGCTGAGCGACGTGCCTCGGACCGGGTGCAAACGCGTCCCCTGGGTGGAGTGCTGGGCAGGAGGGAAGTGCCGCTTCCAGATGGCACCAGTTAGCTTCCTGGGAAGGGCATTTGCAGGGAATATGCTCACAGGAGGGAAAACAAAGGCGTCCCTGGGGATTTTAAACAGTCTAGAGCCTTGGGCGGCCAATGGAGGAGGTCACCAAGAAAGCTGCAGGAGGCAGGGAGCGGGGTTGGGGACAGGAGCGTGTGTGGCCCTGGCTCCCCCTCCAGACAGTGACGGAACCAGCCCACTTGCTCCGCAGTCCTTTCTGTGGAGCCTGGATGTGGGTTCAGGATGCTTCTCGGAGTCAGGTCCCCAGGAGGCGAGTTCCCGCTGACTCGAGTCGGCACCCAAGGCCGCCTGCATCTAAGGCTGGGGACATCAAAGTGTCTTACAGCCCTTCCATCTGTTCCCCCGTGTGACCTCTAAAGACTCCAGTCCCATCGTGTAGTGATCGGGGTGGCCTCCGAGAGCCGGCCGGCTGGCCACGTGGCCTGGAAATGCGGGCACGTGTGTGTGCCTGTGAGTGTGTGTGTGCCTGTGAGTGTGTGTGTGCCTGTGAGTGTGTGTGTGCCTGTGAGTGTGTCTGTGTGTCTGGCCGTGTTTGTGGAGGGAGCCAGGTGGAGAGGAGGGGGAAGGGGACTCTGGCTGGCCTGGTTTGCACGAAGCATAGTTTTGCACAATTGGCAAATTTCCAGTAAGTGTCATTTGTGCCAGTCCTTGAGGAGGTGGGGCCAGCCCCTGCCACCTGCACGGTTCTGCAAAGTTCAGTCTTTCCCCAGCCTGCCATGCTCGTTTTTGCGCTTGGGAACGCTGTCCCATCCTCAGGAGCCCTTCTCAGAGAGGGTGCCAGCCCTTCGGGGAAGGTAGGGATGGGGCTGCAATGGATTGTGGGAGAAACAGCAGAGGGAGGAGAGGTCCCAGGTCTGATGGCCATTTCAGGGGACACTGGGCTCCTTTAGCTAAGGCTTGTACCCGAGGCCTCAGGTCCCTGTGTCCCCCAGGCCAATCCCACAGACTTACGATGTTCATTAAAATGCATAATTTATGAAAGAACACAAAGAAAATGCTTAGAAAATTTTAAAGCTTTGTAAAACACATAAGGTATTCCCGGCGTGATTTGTGCAGCTTTACTAGACCCCCATACATATTTCATGTGCACGCACACACATGCACGCGCACACACGCACGCACACACATGCAGTCACATTTTCCTCACTTCACATCGGTTGCCCAGGCCCTGAAGGACACAAGCTAATTACCTGTTATCATGAATAAATAATATTTGCAGAGCAGCAAAGAAGAACTGGGAAAGACAGTGTCCGTGCGTCTGATACTCGGATCTCTTCTCGTGGCATCTTCAGTTCCGTTCCTTGTACCTGTCCGGGCACCAGTGGGCTAAGCGGTGGCCACAAGGCCACCACTCTGCGCCCATGCACTCCACCCAAGAACGGACACACTCTGGCTGTCTGTCCTTCTTGCAGTGAGACGAGAACAGTAGGTGTGATCCCTTCTCATCCACAAAGCATGCTGCTGCTCCATGCACATCTTAGTCTTTCTGGGTAATGCAACCCATGACTTGTGTCCATTCAGGTACGATTCTTCCACAGCTACTCGACATGGAAGGGGACTGTCCTTTTCCTGCCCAGCTGGCAGTGCTCACTGTCACAAGCAGTTATTTTAAATATGAAGAAAACAAGAATGGCTCTGACCACTGACAGTGCCTGCAGCCAGGACAGCAAAGCATCCACCAGCTGTCCCCAGACGCCGTCTGCTCTCTTCTCCCACCAGGTCCGATCCAACTTTATACACCTTGTTTGCCTATTGAGAGCTTTGGCATCTTTTGACTATTTGCTCCTCACATCAACCTTGTAAATCTGTAGGGCAGGATTTATTATTCTCATTAGAGATGACGCTGTGTTCCCTGGCACCTCCAACTTGCACAGCGGGCTCCTACACTCCCTCTTTGACAGGATGAGATACTGAAAAATTAATAGTTGGGCTGTTGTTTTTGCTGTTTTGAGTTATCAGCAAAAAGGAGAGAACCTGAGATCGCCTACCTCACCCTCACAGGAAGGATCACGGGCCACTGGGACCTGGGTTCTGGCCAACTCCCCACCTGGGCAAGATGACTGCTACAGTGCATGTAGAAAGTTTAATTTGTCACCAACCTGAGAATATTGGGGAGATTTCCCCCTAAGTCAGAGATTTCTGGTTTCTCTTGGAAATGGTAGACGATCTCCTACCTGGAGATGGGAGAGCATCAAGGTGGATGGCTGTGTAGGTGCCAGGAGACTGCACAGGGCCTGTTGGCAGAGTCTGATGGAGAGGGCAGGGGAGGGGGAGGGGGAGGGCATGAGCAGAGGGTCCCCACCCCCACATCTAAACACTGGCAGTGAGTGGCCAGGGCTGGAAACCAGGCACCAATCTCCTGTCTCCATGAGGCTCTTA